TCGAGATATGTATGGGAAATCAAAGAAAATATGTTTGTCCACCCAGTTATTAAATATAGCATATGAAAAAAAAAACAAAATGGCTATAGAATTGGCACCCCGTTTTGTTCATTGTGCCAGGAAGTATAGCTGGATATATCTATTTTCCCCGATCAACAGCATCTACTAAATGAAAGCGGTGAAATTATGTAAGCAGGTGTACATGCCAATAAATATCTCCTGGTGCATCTAGCTCCTGAGTAGGTAAACCGGTTTTTTATATGGACCTGGATATACAAATTCAGTGTACTCAAATGTGTATAAGAAGGCTTGTGATGTGAAAGTAGTCTTTATTATAATAGTAATTGTTCTTCTACCTCATAATTCCCTCTGGTTGAAACTTGAAGAGCAGCGAATGCACAAGTATTTTTTTTTTTTACTTTTGACCTTTTATTAATGCGATTTTATTGCTGCTCTGCTTCTTAGCATTGAACACTCCCTTAAGCTGTTGTCTTATTTTTCGGAATAGTGGTTATACACAATTCAGAAAATGTAATATGAATAATACAGGGTATGGCAGAAATACTTCACGCATAAAACCTTCCAGACATAACTCCCATATAATGGTAAGAACTGAGTTACTGGGTGCGGCATGAATGCATCCTACATTTTAAACTGTCACCTGTGCAAATCGCAATTTTGTGGATGGTATTTCTGCCGCACCTTTTACATATATATTATTCATACAACTACTGCTGCCGCAGAAACAACAGCATCAGTTTCCCCGACAAAGCCGTTATCTGATGATGATTCGGGTTTCAGGCATGTTTTTGGAAACATAACATCATTACCCTTAACAGAGCATCCCAGCAGATGCAGTCTCAGCCCCAAACATGAAGACTGATATAATCCGGAGATCAACCATATTATATAAAAGCTGAAGTGCGGATGACACCCAGATATCTGACTACAGCAGGATAATCATAAATTATAATGTCAATTTTTCTACCCACCCTGCTCCCACAAAACTAAAAATAAACAAATAGATCTTTCATTTACTATTAAGTATGAAGAGAAACCAATGACCAAACAAAAAAGAAAAGAGAACCAAACAAATAATTTCTTTTATCTCAAGGAAAAAGAAATAATGTTGGATAATCAGAAATTATTACCGGACTGGCGAGAGTAAAAAGAAAACTGATTTTGATTGGGTCGCATAAATGTAGTTTTCAGGTGAAGAGTAATTTTAGTTTGTATATATATATATATATATATATATATATATATATATATATAATTTATAAAGTTTATTTAATTTAGAAACAGCTTGATGACTTAGTCGATCATGCCTCTATACGGCTTCCTTTTATTTAATACCTGCACACTGGGTATTGTCATGACTGCTTTGTGGAAAGTGGTTTCCTGTTAACTTTTTCACGTTTTATGAATTCATACTTGTCCTGCTAGACTAGTTGACTTACTAAGGCTGAAGTGCCCACTCTTCCCGACTATTTTACTTAATGATTTTCTCAAGGATATTAGTACAGAGTAAACGCAACAACTATTTGAATTCAGCTTGCCAATTTTACTGTCCTTCCTGCTCGCATTTACGCTACCCACACTTTCTTGAAAGACTTATGTGGCGAACGCACGTTAGTACATATGCGAAAGAGGTCTGTACTGCTTCCCTGGACACCATGAGTCCCAGTCCGATAATGGAAGTACATCGACGCAGTGGCATCCACATATTTTGTGGGGAGAGTTTGTCCTTCAGTGTCAAAGGCCGTCGTAAAGTGGGACGTATGTGGAGTGCACAACAATAGATCTTGCGCCAGTCCATTGACAAAAGGGCAGATTGGGTGTGAACAGTACTTGACAGGGGCTCGGCATGGACATCACGTACTATCGAGACAGCCATTATCTGACACTAACAGAATGTGGCTCGTCAAGTTTTTCTGTGTGCCGACCAATACACAGTGAGTATCATACGTCATCTGGAGTCGACGTTCAGTGAGAGCTGAACATCACGTGTGCTATTCACAATGACACCGCATTCCGCAGCAGGGAGTCCCGGGCCTTCACCAGCTGGTACAATGTCACCCCCAAGGATAACACCTCACCACTCACTGTGCACGCAAATCAAGTCTACAGATACTAGGTTCGGCTTAAAGGTATTGATCCACTGCCTCCATTGATGTCTGAGGTGGACCACAAAGTGTACAAGGTGGGAGATTCTCTGTGGGTGAAGGCCCCACACAGCCGGTGTACAACAACTATCAGAGAGGAACAAATTACTGAACTTGTTAATCCGCAATCAGTCTTGGTGGACGGAATATCCACCAAGACACTACAACAAGTAGTGAAGAGGATATGTCTGAAAGTGAGAATGAAATCCTCGTGAGCGTGTATAGGCCAGATGATCCCATGGATGAAGAATCACATGGGGACCAGGTGGAGGAACGCAATCCAGCACCCCACCTTCGAAGAAGCACTCGACAGAAGAGACCTGCTCCAAGCTGTCATATTTATGATCAGGAGATCAGAAGGGAGTGTGGCGAATACGCGTCAGCACGGACGCAAAAGAGGCCCCAGAACGCGTTTGGACATGCCTGCCAAAAACAGTTTCATCCGTTTTTTTTAATCGGTATCACCCCAAACAAGGCAGTACAGCTACTAGTACGCAAGGGGTTACAAGGTGTGGAGGAATTAGGAACAGAAACATTAGTAATGAGGAAAAAGTGAAAAACAATCAGGAGGACAGTAGATCGCGACTGACATTACTTTTAAATTTTTGATGATTAAAGTTGGTTAGAAAGCATGGAGCTGAGATGGAGTTCCACAAGAGTGAAGTGCTAGATAATAAGTTAGCATAGAAGTTATGGCTATATCTCGCTAGCTCAATTGTAAACTGATGAGATCTCGCCGCCAGTCTAGTATTGGGCTTAAATTCAAAAAGTCTAGGGACCATAGCGAAGAGCTCATCCGAACAATTACCATGAAAGTATTTATAAAAAAGACAGAGAGAGGCAACCTTACGGCGGTAGGTTGAAGCGATATCAGGTCCTATAATGTTGCAGATTCTTCTTTGCATCTTATTGAGGAGCTCCAGGAAAATAGCAAGGGCACCGGACTATATATGGCAGCAATATTCTAAACATGGAAGAATAGTAGACATAGATATGCAAGATAGATTCCAGAGAGAAAAATTGTCTCGCCCGACACAGTGAACCGATTTTTTAGCAGCTGATCTGTCGATGGATTCAATGTAGTTTTACCACCTCATGTCACCTCATGTCAACAAGGCGGAATGAGTTACCTTCTTGGAGGAGAGCATCAGACATGCTGATGGAAAGCAAAGAGAGGTCTTTCAGATGAGTAATGGAGAGAAGTTTAGTTTTGGAGGCGTTAAAATTGACAAGCCATTTTTTCCCAGTTAACGACGGTTTTGAGGTTGTTTTGTATATCGGCTGCCATTTTGACCTTGTTTGACTGCTCAGGAGTAAATGGTAGTGTCGTCAGAGTAGATACCAAATTGAGAGCTGAAGGTCGTTAATGAAGATTAAAACAACGTAGGACAGAGGATGTAGGCCTGGGGGACACTCGTGTTAGTACGAAAGGTAGTAAACGAGTGGCCGTTCAGGACAACTTTCGTTTCACGATTTGATAGGAACGACTGGATGATCTCAACCCCGTTAGTAGCAGAACAGCTTGGCATGTTCAGATACGGGCCTCTTTGCAACTTATCTAGATCCGTGTTTCTATCAACTGTCGCCTGTCAAAAAAAGAAAAAAGAAAAAAAAAAAAAAGGCGAATAGGAAACCCAGCCAGCGGTGGACAGTTCGCAAGATTCAGTGTCTTGTGAAGTCGGCACTGTAGGTATTTTGTTCCTAAAGTTGCTATGCTTTCTGAGGCAATGTCATTTTTTTACCTCTTGTCGCTTTCGTTTCTCTGCCTTTACCCCCGTAGCGGTTGGGAGACCAATAGGTTAGATGTTTCCACCAACATCAATACACCCTTGCCGTATTTTACAACAACTTAATAAAATTAAAATGAATAAAAAAATATTAAAGATTCATTATTTTAAAACTTTCTCTAAATCATGGTCTACTTTGGAAACTCCTAAATTTAAAAGTACCAATTGAATCTATGCAGCAATCTAAATCAATATTTTGTAGAGTCCTGTACGACTTTTTAAAAATATTGATTGTATCTATAAGGTTGTTTCCCCGAACCAGAAACCAACGGTTATAGAAGCTCAAATCTACTTCTATATTAATTTCTTTTATTCATTTAATTATTCGTTTCCAATCCATGATTTCTTTTGACGGCGTGAAAAAGTAACTGGAATTAAGATTCTGTTCATTTTGTCATTTGTAGTTTAACTCGCGCATTTGACTAACCATATTAGAAAATAGTGTGAACAGTTGCAATAAAAAGCAACTGAAATTGACATGAAAGGAACACTAGTAAAAAAATTAATTATGATTGTCAATACTTTTTCTAATAGTATATTCAAAGTAATAGGAGCTTAGAAATTTCCAAGTTTATATGCACGTGGAAAAAGTAATGTCAATGTTTACCATGACAAATGAGTAGTGAGTTCAATCCTCACCGAGCATACCATACTTGTTTCAAAACAAGACAAATATAGGAAATACCTAAAATATGGGTTAAGTAGTAGAGCAGATTGGAAAGCCTAGCCGTGATTGGTAGCCAGTATAGGAGAAGGACACCTCTGAATTTAAAACATTATGTAGTTCTGACGAAGTACATACTATTCGGCCATCGAAGGTATTGTGGAGTTCACAATGACTATGATCCCCCGACTAAAGATAGGCACCGAAACAATAATTTTCGTAATTTTGTAAATATTTTCGTTTTGTACACGGTTACCGTAACTAGACACTCACCCACTAAATATAATAAATTTACATTATCGTCTGTTTCTTCTTGGTAGCCGGTGAATTTTTACACGCATATACATATTGTTTATTTGCATATGTTTTGTTTTTTTTCTGCAGGTGAGGACAAACCGTCTTTCGTTGTATAAAGTACAACTTCAAGAGCTACAAGCGAATAAAACAGTATTAGTTAAAATAAGAATTACAATGGAAACAAAATCTGCTTTCAAACTCGCCTGGTTCTACCGGAATGCCATCATCGTAATCCTGGTCCCGATTATATTATTGCCTTTGCCTCTAATACTGGATTTAAAGGTAAGTCAACATTATTATCTGTATCTTTACAGGTTTGTTTCGGTCTATTAAAGGGTGCATACAGTAGGGTAATTATTAACAATCTAGTTTTAGAAATATCTAAAATGTTAGCTGTATACAATCGTTTTCTCTGATCAGTAGTTAAAAATGACAAATTAAGCCTACAGGTCTTAGCGAGGATCAGCCTTCTTTGAACTTTTTGTACTGGCGCTAAAGAATCACAAACTAAAGACTGTACCAAATAACAGAAACTATATTATTAGTTAAGGACTTTCAGCAACAGCAACATCTAAAATGAATATCACATGTAACTTGAAGAGGAAATAATAGCAGAATCAAGATGTTTCACACCACTTCAAAATATATTAAAGATGAAGCTCCCGTCCCTACCTGAAAGAGTGATAAAAATTAGTGAACTTAAGACACCTATTTTCCTGAATAAAATATTTTAAGTAGAAAATAAGGAAACTACTATTATTACCATTATTATCAAAACGTTGCCAATATTATGTGTCCGGTCTTAACTGGTTAACTCCTTATCATACCTTTGTTCCAGGCTAAGGTATGATTAGAAAATATTTACTTTTTTATGCTATATCCCTTAAAGACGATTATGGCTCTCCAAGTGCTTTTTTTCTAATGTTACCTCCACAGGTTCCAATAGCTAGGACATATGGAATACAGCAATGGGGTTTCTCTGTAAAAGTGGCTTCCACAGCCGTTCAGGGAGTGATTCGAATGCTCATTGTGTATCCAATCAATCTAGAAGATTTTCAGGATGTTATAATGAAAGCATGGATCCAAAATTTCGAAAGATCAGAACATCATCGAATCCATGTTATGAAGACATGAGGCAGTTCTAAATATAAAAGTAGGCCGAACCTGGTTCTAGAAGAGTATATATAAGGAGGTGACTGGTGATTGTTATTCGAAAAGCACCTCAGAATTGTTAAGGAGAATAAGGTTAGGTTTAATGGAATGTCCTTCTCAGTTGCCTGACCTAAATCCACTTGGACATTTGTGTCACGAACTGAAAACTGCTGTTCGTAAATAGAAGCCACTATAACGAAAAGATTTGGAATTATTCTGCGCAGAAGAGAATGGTCGGAAATACTAGTTGAGAGATGTAGAAACTTTATCGAAGGCTATTAGCAACTATACATTATTTGAGGTGCTCGAATATTTTTTATTCTACTAATGTTCAATCTATAAAAGTCCCAAGGGCCACTCAAGGTAGAGTGCCACTGAATGCGGTTGTTATGTGAGCGGTAAGAGTATAGTTTATGTAGGAAAGATAACGATTAACCCTAGATTTGAGAGGTTAACATTGTAGTGGTTGGGAAAGCACCCTTTTGGGATTCCACAAAGTAACAGTTCTTGGGAAGAAGATATCCGAATGGAACTTGCACCTTACAAAAGGAATACGAAGGGAATTAGGGTAGTTCAATATACGTGGTGCGTCTTAGCTGGGAGCGTTAGAATTGGGGGTGTGAGTTTAAGTCACAATAGGCATTCAAGGTAAGGGGCTTTCTGGAGAGAAAACTCATTGTGATAGGCGAAAATCCAGAGGTTGCTCGGTGATGATGGAAATTGAATGGACCAATCCGTTTTCCCACAAATGAGTTATTAAAGCTAGGTCAGAGGAGAGGTCAGTTGCCAGGTTCTTGTCATATAGATTTTTAGACGTGCACCTATAAAAGGGGGACAATAGGTAAATTGTTGGCTTTTTATATTTTTAATTTAGTGCGTGCGCGTTGTTTCTTTTTGATTTTGTTGACTGCGCGGTAGGGTTAGGGTCAGTTGGGCACCGTCTGTGAGAAAAAAAAAAGAGCACTATGACACAATTCACTCCACAAGAAATTAAAAAACGGCGTGCTGTACTGCTTGGTATTCGCGAGGGAAGCTACAACACTAACATTTCAGAGTATTTGGCTGTCAACTTGAAGACAGTGCAGAGGATTTGGAAACAGTTGGATGAGTCGAATGGTGGTTACGAAGATATTTGAAGTGATCATTAGAGATGACGACGTTATGCCTCCACTCATCTTCCCACAGGGCGTCAGACTCAACACAGAAGTCTACATCAAGTGCATCGAGGAGGTAGTGTTGCCCTGAGTCAAGAGGGCGGCTGCTAGAAGACCCTATGTCTGGCAACAGGACTCTACGCCATGCCACACAAGCAGGAGAAGCAGTCATGGCTGTTAGACAATTTCTGCGACCACATCACCCCTTACATCTGGCAACCTAATACGCAAGACTGCAATCCCTTGATTTTTATATGAGAGGCGCAGCTGTAACACTAAAGATGAACAGAAGACAAGGATTATGGCAACATTCAACAACTTAAACAAGGCGACCGCCCAGAAGATTTGATGAGATTCCGAAGTCGTCTGGAGCTTGTGGTTGAATATATTTACTCTTTAGTATTTCAAGTAAAATGTTAAAATAAGATGTCAGTGATATTTTCATTTTTGCGTAATTTAGACAATTTATCCATCGCGGACCGTATATCGTTGTATCTGCATATATATATTCACACGACGTCTGAGTATGCTTATACAGCTCAATATAAGGAAGTAGTGGTAATTATAGAAATACAATAATAGTAATTTTCCTTTAATGAGTATTTGCCTAGACTGGGTACATAAATGTCATCAAATTAAATTCTGGATGATTAGTCAGGAAAAAAATAAGAAAAAAATTAGAGATACAATACATATGTTTCCACCTTGGTGTGTGTGTCTGGCGGGTGGGTAGCTAGCATAACTGTCTTCGGCATGGAAAGTGAAATCAGTGAGCTGCGTTAAATTTCGGACAATTCTGTTTCGTTAACTTCACGTTCTTAGAAAACTCATGAATTCATCTCCCATCATCTATAGGTTAAATAACAGCATACTATATATATGTTCTTAACTTGAATGTCATTCCGTTTAGAAGAAACAATACACTTTGAATTCAAATGTCAAGGTAAGACTTTGGCGGCTTTGTGGTGCATTGTATATTATTACTTTGTTGTCATTTTTTCTAAAAAAAAAATGTGGATGGTTCTACATAAACCTTCAGTTCAGTGGACTAATCCATTTATTTAGCAGAGGGAGTGATAAAAGAAAATGAATACACACAACACACACACACACACACACACACACACACACATATATATATATATATATATATATATATGTTTCATTAAAGGCGACAGACAAGGTATTACGATTAATCTTTTCACTTATTTTTTCTTGTTTTCGAACGAAGGATTGCTGTCTAAATAAAGTATATATATATATATATATATATATATATATTAAGACAAGTTTCGTTAAATAATTTAGACATGTTCTTTCTACCTATTCTCGATAGGATCCTTTCGGATTCGCGGATAAACTTTTTGTGCGGTTATTAAAAGACGATAGGAAAACAACTTTCGACATAGCATAATCTCATCATCGAGGTATTGTTAAATATAAAGTATTAAGTGTTCAGAGTTGTGAAGGATAAAATTGTTGTGGTCATCCGAAAATTACTATTTTTTTACTAATGCTGCGTCGTGGCTGGAATGACGGACACGGTTTAAGGGGAGATAACTAGGTACCCTGTGAAAAAATTACCTCCATTGCATTAATGAAAATATGCTGCCGAAATATACGCATGCACGGTTGGACATGAGGATAGGGATATGTACGGGTGTAGATATGTGTAAGTGCAAATTAACGCATATGTGTGTATGCAGATATGCTGCATATTACGTATATATATGCATGTATGTGTGTGTATGTATATGTATGTGTGTATGTATGTATGTATGCATATATGTGTATGTGTATATGTGTATACATATATATGTGTGTAAATGTATATGTGCGTATGTATATGGATGTATATGGATATACAGGTGTCCTTATGTGTATATGTATATATGTAAGTATAAGTGTATATGGAGATATATGTATATGCGTTTCTCTGCAGGTGTATATGTGTAAATATGGAAATATACATATGGTTTTTTCGTGTGAATGTGTGTGCAGGTGTATATAGGAACTCATAGGCATATAAGAAAATATAGGCATGTGGAGATAAATAGGGGTTTAAGACATGTGTAGATAAAAGATTGTAAAAGAAGGACCTAATTTTCTGCTAGTGACATCTCATCCAAATCTCTCCTCTAATATTCTCCAATTGGAAGTGAGTTTTAAATAGCACGAAGGTAAAGTTTAAATTGGTATTTTAATTTAGATTGAAATATACTACCCCATTATTGATGATAAAATTATTTAAATGGGAATAACCGTTGATAATTAGGTACATAAAAAACAATCACGAGTTTACTTAATGAACAAAAATCAAAAACAATCACGAGTTTACTTAATGAACAAAAATCAAACGAATAGATGTCAACCTAACAAGCAATAAGATAAAAGTTTTAGTAGAATAAAAAAGATTACTAAATATAAAATGGATTACTCTCTCAATGTACTGTCTATGAATTTTTCCAATCGACTGTTTCATAGAAAATACCCAAAACTCCACCGATTTCAAATTAATTTCTTCGTAGATTGTTTAGACATTTAGATATTTATCAAACCTTAACCTCCCAAATATGCACGTTAAAGTAACGCAAATTAACAGCGTCTAAGAATTTGAATGAAACCTGTCGTGTAATTGATTGGGGTTGTTGTAGCTTCTTCCTTTAATGTCGGTCTTATATCTAGAGACGAGACGCGTTAAATTTGAGCAACATCTAGCCGACACACTGGGGTTAAAAATATGAAATTGAAATGATACATATGACACACTCATATCCTCTTTCCCACCTCACTTCCTCACTTCGTTAATTTTACGTATAATTGATGAGGTCCGTCAAAAACGTGAGAATTTCTTTTCATTTTTCATTTCAGCTTTTGGAAGTAAAGTCTATGATCCAGAACCCTGTTAAAGGGGTTATGGTGAAATAGCTTATTACATGGAATCTTAACGTGGTCTGTTTTTTATTCAAACATATC